GGGTTGGGGGGGGTACCCATATCATAGTAGACACTTTTGTTAATGCTTCGAATAAAATTACTTTGTGTTTTATTATTGTGTTGTGTCCTGTTCTGTATAATGTGTCCTATGTTGTTTTCTTTGTTTAAAAGTTAAAATACTCGCATCAGTGATTTTGCAGTTAATAGCTTCGAAGACCCGAGTTTGATTCCCGAGGGAAGAACATTATTTATCTAGTTTCCCAGTCTTTCTGCTGAGACAATGTATCCCTTTCAGCCTGGGTCGGTATTGACAGGCAAAGTCAGAAAAGGCCCCAACTTTGTGAAAAGTTACATGATATTGTCGTTCTTATTTCATTCAGGTCAACTCTTCTGACGAGGGTGGTGTGCTAGTGGGCAACTGGTCAGGAAATTATTCTGCAGGTCGTTCACCTCTCAGCTGGACTGGCTCTGTAGCCATTCTGGAGTCGTACTGGGACAGCAAGCGGCCGGTTCGCTTTGGACAGTGCTGGGTTTTCTCCGGTCTCTGTACCACAAGTAAGTCTCTCGGTCTGACGTTGAGTGGGGTAGACACACCTCCAGCCAGTCTGTGGGAAGAACAATGACATGAATACGTCTTCGGAGACATGAAAGTTATGTCAAATACGCAGTCTCTTTTATGTAACTTGGTCTTTTCTGAAGATACCGAAAAGTTTCGTAGGCCAAATTGGGGCATGGTATCATGGAATCTAATATTAATAAGTAAATAAACTCCACGATAGTATGCCCATATTCTGTCTACAAAAACCGTAGGTTCTCACCAGAAGAGACAAAGTTATTCTGACCAGACTCGTATTAACCACCACTCTCTGACGTATAGATATCGCCTTCAGGGAAATGAGTAGCCATTTTTTAATCTGATGGATAATAATTTTACTATCTGGCACATCCTGATAGAATTTTCGGACTTTGGAGAAGCCTGAAGGAAATATTCTAATAATTAAATGTACCAACTTCAAACATTTGTTCTCCATTATTGATCACAGCAGTTTTTTTCGATTTTAAAAAGACCATCAGTCTTTACTCAAAGATGTAGACCATGTTACTTTAAAACAGACTCAAAGTCACACGTTTATGTTTCGAATGAACAATTCTTGACAAGAATGTTTAAGTAAGATACGTTGTCAGCATTCTGAAAGTACTCCCATGGTATTCGGTTTGTACATGCTTAAGAGGTCATAGGAAACTTTGAGATTTTCAGTTAAGGTTCGTAGGTTTATGTTATGACTGTAAATACCAGTTAAAGTGGCGGGTCGTACACTAAGAATCAAATTGAATGCAATTAACTTTGTTTTCTTTGGTCCCCCGCAGTTGCCCGAGCCCTGGGAATCCCGGCGAGAAGCGTGACCAACTTCTCCTCGGCCCACGACACAGACGGCTCAATGACCATCGACATTGTCTGTGACAAAGACGGCTCGCCTGATGACTACAACCCAGACTCCATCTGGTGAGAAGACAGGGGCAAACAGGGGAACCTCGTAGTCTAGGGGTTACGTTTTTGCATTTCATTCACTAGGTCCCGAGTTCGAAACCTGACAGCAACGGAACATTTTCTTCTCTGAAATTGTATCTTTTAATCTTCTTTCCTGCTCTCTAACTATGGTTATGGCCTTATGCAGTTGCAGGCGCCGTGAAACGCCTACAAAAACAAACAAAAAAGCAAAAAGAGAGACAACTCGTAGACGAGAATTATGATAGCCAAGACCAGGCATTTCAGGTGTAATTTAGGTTCACCAATGAGCGCGTTATTTGACTCTATTTGGAACGAAACGAAGAGCAACGAGGTTTAAGCTGAGGACTATGGCGATATTTGTGTTTTGACCCTCATTTGCGAGTCCATGGTGTGCATAGACGCACTGAATTTAAAAAGAATATATTTTTTAATGTATCAGTTTATCTTGTATTATTTCTCTAAATAGAAAACAAAGAATTGTGTCCATGACAGTGCCGTATATTATGATTTAAGTCTATGGAGAAAACGTAAAAAAGACCAACCCCAAGATAATATACTTGCCATAATCGAAATTGTTCCTCTTTTAGGCATTTACAAAGTTAAAAGTATCCGCCTTAGATATTGCGCTCAAGCTAGCACATGTTCTCCCCTTCTGCGAGTCCTCACCCCCCCCCCCCCATCTCCCACCCCACCCCATCCTGTCCTCCACCCACCCTACCCCCACTCCTCTTTGTAGTGTTAGTTTTAATAAGAGTTTAACAGCACTTTTGACACAATGATTGGCTCATACAAGTGCTGGTGATTAGAGATGTAACTAGAGAATATCATCCAAAGAAAAGAAGTGGAAGAGCGAATGATGAACATTGTTTGATAGGAAAGAAAGAGCGAACCACACTTGACTACCCGCCAACCACCCACCTTTCTTTAGTTATAAATCCCAAGTCAATGTCCTAACTTTGCCTAAACAACGACAAACTTTTCAGGAATTTCCACGTGTGGAATGAGGCCTGGATGGCGAGACCGGATCTCCCAACAGGATTCGGAGGCTGGCAGGCGTTTGACGCTACACCACAGGAAACATCTGATGGTAAGTAAATGTAGTTATGGACATTGAAAGTAGCTTGGCTTTCTTGTATTAACTTATCCATAGACCAAAGGTAACTGTTTAGGATGTACCGGCACATACTATGTCCAATCAGCTGCTGGCGAAAAGTCAATATTACGACAAATTTCAAACCCTCATACACAAATTAGAAGCAGAAATTTTGGATGTTGGATAGTATACTATGTTACTACCTACCTTTTAACTTTTCAGATATAGGAAAAAAGAACTGAAAAATCTGTTTGAATAACAAAATTATGTTGTTGGTTTTTTTAAAGTACCCCAACATGCCCAAGAGCACCCTTAAACATTAATAAAAGATTTAAAGTAAACTGTAGGTTGATCTCCCTCTTTATTAATGACTTCCACCACCCTTTCCTCGTTTTTTCTCTAGGACAGAAGCTCTTTCAGATTTTTTAAGCCTCAAGAACAACATGTTTTGGGTTTAACTTCTTATGGTATGAAAACAATATACTTGTTTGAACGTTGGGTTCAACGTTTGCATGGAATTGAAGCATTTTATAGGTACCTTTGGGTACAACTTATAGAATTAAAACATACTATTGGGTGCTTTCTATTGAACCCATCATTAAAGTAAAACATAGGTACTTTCGGTTGAACTGTGCCAGAAATTAAACCTTATAAATAGTTTCAGTTGAGCTCCTTATGGACTTAAAACACAATGTTACTTTCGGTTGAACTATGTATGCTATTTAAACATACAGGTATTTTTGATTTAGCTCCTTATAGAGTAACAATATAACGTTACTATAGGTTGAACCCTCAGGGAATTAAAATGTAGGTACTTTCGTTTGGACTCTTCTTCATAAAAGTGAAACATAAGCACTTTCGGTTAAAATGTGCATGTATTTAAATCATATAAGTAAAAGTAGAGGTGACCAACAAAAACCCAACAACTGCTTTTGTGTTGTATCTAATCAATACTCTCCTAGTAGAATTGTAAATGGGCTTATTTAGCAGTGTCATGCTCATACTGTGCCGGAAACATAGGGGAAACTGCTGCATTTTTTCCCTCATCCTTACTATCGTCATTTTCCTCTACTTCTTTTGTATGTTTGTCACTCTCTAGTGAACTGCTATTTCCGGGGCGCCTTTATAGTCAAAGGAGACTTTGTGCTGTTGAGGCCAGAGAGGTGAGCAGAGTAAGCCTGATTCCCCGTTTAGACTTCTCTATTGATCCCCCCACCCCTTGGCGCTCATACGACCTTATGTAGTAGCAAGCGCTGAAACCTTACTAAAACTAACTAAAATAATTTCCTACAACGCTTCTCTCGGCAGGCACGTACTGCTGTGGACCAGTTTCGGTGGCCGCCATCAGGCAAGGGGAGGTAAACATGCCATTCGACGCCCCGTTCGTGTTTGCAGAAGTGAACGCCGATCGTGTGTACTGGATGCCTGATGTCACCGGAACAGTGAAGAACGTGTTCACTGAGGCAAAACTGTAAGTTAAAACAACAGCAACAACAACAACAACAACAAAAAGAACAACAAAAAGAACACCAATAATAAAAGTAATAATAGTATGGTAGTAATATCCATATATTGTGATATGGATATGACAATAATAATGATAAGAATGATAATGATAAGAATAATAAAAAGAAATAATAATAGATAATGATGATGGTGATGATGATGATGATGATGATGATGATGATGATGATGGTCACAGCACTGCCAAACATGATGTCTATCAATAAACAATGTTTTTATTAAATTAAAAAGTGGATGACAGTAAACAAATTTAAACTAAACAAAGAAAAGACAGACATCATTCTTATAAATAATCCACGATTAAATAAAGATCTGGAAAGTTTCAACTTTGATTTATATGGGCACTTGACATCTAGTAAAGAAGTTGTCAAGAATATGTTGACCGCCACTTATCAATGGGCTCGTTTGTGGGATCTCAGTCCAAATCCCTTTATTTTCAGCTGAGAAGGATAGGCCTAGTTCGAAAGTACTTAAACGAAGAGACCACAAAAACATTGGTAACATCTCTTATCCTATCTAGATTAGACTATTGTAACTCAGTCCTAGCAGGTCTGAACAACAGATATTTGAGTCGTTTACAAGTCATTCAAAATAATGCCGCTAGACTGATAACAAGATCTAGAAAAACGAGTCCATGTCACTCCACTATTAAAAGAACTGCATTTGGCTCCCTGTTAAAGAAAGAATAATATTCAAAATCTGTGTCATGTGTTTCAAATGTGTAAATAAAATTGCTCCTTTTTATCTACAAGAACTTATCAGTATATATAAGCCAGGGAGAAACCTAAGAGTATCAAACGATAACACCCTACTTGTGACACCCGTAAAATCATATAGATCATATGGAGAGAGATCTTTCTCATATCTTGGTCCGTTTAAGTGGAACAGACTACCCATGGAATTTAAACAAAAACACTTGATTGCTTCAAAAGACATGTTAAGCATTTTCTGTTCCTACAGTCCTATCCTTCATAAGCTTCTTACGTTATTATTTTTATTATAGTTGTTCTGTGCCTATGTCTGATTGAAAATAGTCCGTATGTGTGTGTGTGTGTGTGTGTGTGTG